GGGGGGGTGTCTTATTATGATTAATGCAGTAGGCCTGTGGTCTTGCAAATTTTAGGAATACCTGGGAAATGACCATTAATGTCTCCTTTAGAGCCCAGATCTCTGAGATGAGCTTAGGTTTCTTGAATCTCCACACTGGCCAAGTAGCTTCAGTATAATTTGCATGTAAAATTACGTAGATACCAAGTATACATATATTGGTATCTGTGTGGCCTAAAGTAAATGCTCTACAAGCTGACGTGGTCTATTGAAGGTCTGTGATGAATTAGGACAGACTTACAAAGTTTAATCATTTGAAGGATGTAGACTCTGAGAATATAGTAAAAAACTATGGATACATGTATGTTTATACGTTTTGCTTATTATTTTAGAGAAGTTGTTGAGCCCTAAAAATGACATCCCAAGATCATCTGCTTTGGGAATAACAGCATTGCAGGTTCTATAACTCTTTTTAAATTCAGACTGATGTTGAACTTTTTTCAACTCTCCATTTCTTTTCTCTCCTTTTCCCATTCTAAAGTTAACTAAGGGAGTTTCTTGCATCTGAGTCTAGGAAATGAGGTGGCGGTTCTATTCTGGCTTTAATTAGATTTGAGTGTCCTGGGAAAATGTTGCACAATATGTAAACAACATGATCTTCTCTATCTCAAGTGAAAATAACACAAGTTATTTTTCATTTTGAAAGAATCATCTTTCAGAATGAAACTTGGGGTGGGGGGAATTTCCCCTCCTCTGAACAGCTGTTGCTACTATTAAAACATTAAATTTAGTTTTGAAACTAATTTTCTTTTTGAAAGTCACGTAGCCCCAGCTTAAACCTTAATTCTCTATCCATGGGGCTCTCATAGTCCACTAAACAGTTTGCCAGTTCACATGTTGGATATTGTAATGGGAGAAGGTCATCGTTTCTTCTTTGTTTATATGGTGATTCAACAAAACTAGTAAGCTCTTTATTTTCAAGTTTACTTTCTCCTAAGGTTTAAGAAGTATCTAACATCTTTCCAAAGTTGTCTTGCCCTTGGAGTGAATACCAGTTTTCAACGTATTCTAGCTATGGCAAATGTCAGTACATTATTCATTCATTCAATGAGTATTGAGCATTATTGTGTGTCTAGTACACTTGTAGTCACCAACGATCCAGTGGCAAATAAGTGTAGTTTCTGCTCTCATAGACCTTTGTGGGGACATGGAAAAAACAGATGAAAAGGTATGTAATATTTTTACAGACAGTGATAATGGCTATAAAGGAGGGTAAAGAGATTGAGAGTGATAGAAGTGATGCTATTTTCAATAGATTGGTGAAGAAAGCCTTCTCTGAGAAGGTGATATTTAAGCAGAGACCTGAATAAAGTGAAGGAATGAGCTATGGAAAAGATGGGAATGTGTTTGCTGTGCTTGAGGAACAATAAGAGGTTGTATAGCTGAATGGAAACATTGAGGGGAGAATGGTAGGAATAAGGTGGGAGAGTTATGTAGAGCTTTACAGATTGTGATGAAACATTTTGGGTGTTGTTTAAAGTGTGATGGGATGCTTTTTGAAGGATGAAACCAGGGGTATCCATAATCTTATTTATGTTTTGAAAGCAATACATTGGCTGTTGTGTAGAGAGTAAATGGTAGCAGGCAAGAGGGTGAGCAGGGAGACTAATAGTGATATATTTTTGTGACCTGAAATATATATCTAGTAGTTGTTTAATGATTTTTTAATATAAGCAATTAAGTTTTAGTACATCATTGAACAAAGAAGTTCTGAGATATATGTATGTATACGTGTGTATGTGTATGTATGCATGTATAAGTGTGTGTGAGTGTGTGTGTGTATATCTACACACACATACAGTGGCAGATTAGATAGGTGTAGTTTCTGGTCTCATAAACCTCATTTTGGGAGAGTCTGTTTTAATTCGGATCTTTCCCAAAGATGAAAAAATTCATGAAGGTCACTAAGAACATAAATCCTAGTCCTTTAAGATAAACACACACACACACACATATATAGTGTCTTTGAAAATTGGTTTTCATTTGATTAAATTTTTTATTTCTCATTAGAAACAGTAAAAATGTCCTTTGTAGAAAACTTGGAAAATAAAAGTAAAAAATAATCCATAATTCTATCACTTATAAATAGTATTTTAACTATTGACATTTATTTTCATGACATTTAGTAATATTCCTGGAGGATTTCTATTTTTTTAAATTTAAAACATTTTTAATTTTTATTTTTGAGAGAGAGAGAACAGGGGAGGGACAGAAAGAGAGAAAGAGAGAAAGAGAGAGAGAGAGAGAGACAGAATACAAAGCAGGCTCCAGGCTCTGAGCTGTCAGCACTAGAGCCCAATGAGGGGGTCAGACTCATAAACAATGAGTTCATGACCTGAGCCAGAGTTGGATGCTTAACCAAATGAGCCACCCAGGCGCCCTTGAAGGATTTCTGTTTCTACTTATATAGATGAGAAAACAGGCGCAGGCAGGCTTTAATGACTTGTGTGGAATCACCAGAGTAATTATTGTCATATTCTTACTGCTTTATTGAGGTTCCTGGCCAGCCCCTGAAATGGAGCAAGAAAGATGTTATCAAATTCTAGATATGAACAGTGAATTAACTAAGTATGCTATGACAAAGAAAATTAAGGGACACGATTACAATCACTTTTCCCTTTTCCTTAAAGCCAGTGTTCTTAGATCATGTTGCAATATATAGATCATTGTGGGCCGTGTATTTCCCTAGAAAAAGGAGATACTCCCCCTCAGATTTATAACATGACCATACTGCCGTAGATGGTCCATTTGTTCACTGTGTACCTGAAATTTTATTTACGGTGGACATTGGTGAACTGTCTACCCAGAAAAGGAATTCTTCTTCACCTCTGATCTAATTTATTAAAGAAAATAATCTAAAAACTGTTTAGACTTCTTTTCCTGAGCTAGATTTTTTCATGAGTTTTTCTTTTTGTCTTAACAATTAAAAAATAACTTAAAAATTACCTGTTTGTTTGGCAGACACAAGTGCACTTTCCCTTCCAGTTTCCATTCCTCATATAGATTAGGGAAGGCAGTACCTTGTTCAGGACAAGGGAATGTGGACTGTAGCATTTAAGAGCCAGTATGCCACTTCTGTCTTTGTCTTTCCTTCCATGGAAATCTTTAGTTGAGATAGGGGGAGACTGTATTCTTGAGTCAACATAGAGGCACTGCCAAGCTACATGGAACTTTGTGTGAGCAAAAAATAAACTTTCATTGTGTTCGATCTTTAGTATTTTGGGAGTTAGTTTAGCAATCCATGTTCTATTTTGTGTATATTTTATAAGATGTATATAGTTGATAAATATACAATGATGGCGATAGCATATTTAGCAAAGAAAGGCTCTCATAATGTAACTCTTATCTGTCTCCATCATTTTCCACAATATTCATATCTCTAGTTTTATATTTACATTATTGCAGGTTGAAAACACTGTGCTGTCTCACATCTATGTCTTTGATCACATTCTTTGTGCTAGAATTCACTTTTTTTGTTTTATCTATTAGATAAATATGCATCTTTCAAATTCCAGATTGCCTTCACTTTTCCAGGAAAGGCTCCCCTAATTTTCTGTTTTCTTTGTACATTTAGAAGTTTTTCAGTCCACACAATTTTTTTTCAGATTTATTTACTCTTATCTCTGTCATTGAAAGTAACTTATAAGCTCACAGTATTTTCATTCTTGTAACTTGGTATGTAGTGGGCATCAATAGGTGTTTGTTAAATGAGTGCTGTGCTTTTGAACAGAGAACATTTTATCTTTATTGGTTAACACCTTCCTGAAAATTAGTTGACAGTGGACAAGAGGATAGGGAACATTTTGTATAGTTTAATATTATAAACAATGCTGCTATAACATACTCTAATATGTGTAAAATGCAAGAATTTATCTGTGGTGTATGCATAGTAGTAGAATTGCTAGGACATAGAATGTGCACATGTTAAATTTTACAAGATAATACCTACCCGGTTTTCAAACCAGTTAATATTACTACAAACCAGTAGCTATTTCCTCTTTTACCAGCAATAGAGGGGTATTCCTCATTGCTCCACAGTCTTCCTGTCACTTATTTATTCAACTTAAAGAATTTTGCCACTCTTCTGGTGTCAAATGGTATCCCAAAATGATTTGAATGTAGATGTCCCTGATTAATTATGATACAGAACAATATTATGTGTTGAGGCCTTGTACATTTTTTTTCTGTGAAGTTCCTATTCTGTTTCCCATTTTTCATTCAGTTGTCTATCTTTTCCTATTTTTTTCTTTATATGTTCTAGATACAACTAATTTGCTGACTAAATGCGTTGTAAATATCTCTTTAGTGATTAATTGGATGTGGCAGGTGAGGGAGGAGTGTAGAATTAGTTCTAAGTTTCTAGTTCGGGGAAATGAGTGGATGATATTGCTGTTAAACTAGGACATTTAATAGAGATGGAGAACTAGATCTGGGGAAGATGGGAATTTGAGATATTTTGGAGTTTGATGTTTCTAAAAGATATTCAGGTGGAGATATCACATATATCTCTCCGTAGAAGAGTCAGAAGCTCAGGTAAAGTCTGTTATGCCACATCAGTCCTGAAGGAATCTTGTATGATGGGTCTTTTAGGAGATTTCAAAGTCATTTGCCTTCTACTCATGGGATTCTTTTATGAAATACATTTGCCAGTCAAATGACCCACCAGATACTTCATATTAGTTATTATTTTAATACTTTTTTGATCTATTAACAATTGTATAATTTTTCTTAATGTTGCCAAAGGAAGGTGCCTGGGTGGCTCAGTCATTAAGCATCTAACTTTGGTTCAGGTCATGATCTCATGTTTCGTGAGCTTGTGCCTCCCTCCCTCTCCTCCCCCCCCACCCCCCTGCCCCTCTTGGGATTCTCTCTCTCTCTGTCCCTCACTTGCGCGCACACACTCTCCAAAAAAAATTATTGCTGAAGGAGTACATTTTTATTTTGAAAAACATCCAGCCTATGTCTTACATAACATGCATAGTATATATTTATAGACAAAAAATTTTTTACATTTGTATGTACTTCATTACACAGGTTAGTCTGTACACACTGAAAACAGTATAAGAAATATGAACATCTAAGAACTCAACTTTGTGCAGTTTTTCATTAAATAATATTTTCATGTACATTTCCAGACACTTTTAGTTTCTTTTATGTATTTGGAATTGCGTATATATAACCAGTGGAATAATAGGGGCCCCTTGGGAGGATAGCAGTAGAATCCCATGGAGTAAAGATCTTTCTTAAAAAAGCAGATTGTATTATGGTGATTTTTTTAAGTTCTGAGAACTCTGATAAGCCCAGAAGTGGGAATATCCCTTAATAACCAACCTTTAGAAGACATGAACGGTGAGGAAAGTGTTAGTAGCAGGACTAGGACCTGGTACATTCACTAGAAATGTAGCACCTTAGCATAGCTTATTGTGCCAGGGCGGAGTTACTACTGACCAGCTTACTTGGGGTGATGAACCATCCACCTCCAAGGAGTAGTAGCAGCTAATGTGGTGACAGCAGTCGGTCACCTTTTAGGAGAACTACAATCCAGGGATGTTTAGGGCTTGACATATATGTAGGGAAATGATGGTAGAGGTAGTCTCTTTCTGGTCCATCTTTGTCAGTAGCACAGTGATTATGCTTCTGTGTTCAAGGAGATCTTTTAGACCTGTAGAAAGAGAAAGCGGGTGTAAAAGTGTGATATGCTCAACTCTGGCTTCAGCCTGGGTTCTGCTTTTAATGTTCTGAGTTCATAGGTAACTCCCAAGTCCCCAGGCAAAGGGTTTGGTGAGCTTTCCTGATGCTACATAGTCACTGTGGATTGCAAAAGCTGCTTTTTTAAGGCCAGGAGAGGCTTAGGGAAAATTTGGTAGCTTTGCTTGGATACTTCTAGCTCTGCCTCAAAGTTAAAGTGACCTATTGACACTTTTAAGTAGGTAGCTAACTTTTGCTACCACAGAAGATGGCATCTCAGTATAAAAATAGATAGAGGTAGAGGCAGATATGGTGGTAAACACACTTCTAAGCCAAGGATCCCACAGGAAAGCTCAATGCAAATATTTCTTCCCAAAGTTGACATTTCTTAAAGAGCAATTCTGCAAGTAATAGCAAACCTACCTTTCTTTGCTAATTGCTTTCACTAAATTCTTGATGGTCTTAGACTCTGGATTCAGGCATCTCTTCTCTCCATTTTTTTTCATTGTGGCACTGTAGAAGTAAGAGTGAAAATATTTGGAATGGTTTTGGACCAATAAAACAAGTGGAATATACAGTTTTTAAGCCCGATGTTTATGTTTCACTCTAGATGTTTCCCTTTGCTATGCAGAAGTCTTAGAATCATACAAAGCATTTGCTGATTTTGTGATTATACATAATATATGATTACAACTAGAGAAGTGATTTTCAGAAGACATTTTACTCACATGATCTCTACACGTGGACAAGATTGACTTGCAGGAATCACTTCAAGTTTTTCTAAGGACCTTGGATTTACAGATCGATCACTAATCTTGATACAGGTACAACGTGATGTTCTAGAGAGAGGTATTCCTGTGGGAAAAAAGGCAAGTACATTAGGGGAGGTTAGTGCAGTTTTCGTTTTAGTCATTTAGTGTGCATTGGCTACTCCTGAGCAGAACCTATATCCCCATGTTATTTGATTTAATCTGAGAGGGAATGATTCCATTATAACACAGCTCTGAATGATTGATTAGTTGATTATCTGAAAGAATGTAATTGCAATTTATGAATTGTAAGTTTATACCCTTAATCCCAGTTCATATGGTTAATTAAGCAAGTTAACTAAGGAAGTGTCTGTCTCCTCCTCTCTCTCCTCATTCCCTTACATTTTCTCTGTCCTCTTCTCCTCCTCCCTCCTTTTATTCCACTTGCCTTTCTGACTATATACTTTTAGACCTGTCTGTGACCAGAGAGAATCTCTGCTCATTTCTCCTTCATTTATAGGCAGGCTGTAAAACATTTGCAAATATGCTATTCCTGTAGTTATAGAACTTATACCCAGTCCTGTTTCTGGCCTTAAAAATCAGATTATCCCTTCATGGTCCTTACCTTGAGTTCCACTCAGAGTCAGAAAGATAAGGCAGAAAACAAGAACAGCTTTTTGGTTCATGGTGCTGTGACTGGAGGTTCCTCTGCAGTAGCTCAGAATGTCTAAGCAGCTGAGTGGCTCAGAAAGTGTGGGGCTAGGATGCAGTATTTATTTGCAAAGGCACTTTCTCTCTCTAACCTCTGATTGGATAACCTTCTGTTTGACTCAGCAAAACCTGTTGCCTGTTCCTTGGGGAAGTCCCATGTTGCAGAATCAAAGGTATTATTAGTATTTATTGTGGCTCAGAGTTAAGGAATTTCCCTCCACTGCCTTTTTTCACTAGGAGTGAGTTAGGTTTCACTTTCCAAAACATGAACTATTTCTTGAAAAACGGAACTTTATTGCATACGTGGTTTTTTAATGAAAAAAATTTTAATGAAACTGTTTAAATGAAACTTTGATTCTCATGTTTTTCCTCCTGTAATATAAAGATGTCAATTTAATCTTCAAATCAGAGTCCTGCATATAGGTTTTTTTAAAAGTTTTTATTTAAATTCCAGTTAGTTAACATACAGTGTAATATTAGTTTCAGATGTAGAATTTAGTGATTCATCACTTGCATATAACACCTGGTGCTCATCACAAGTGTCGTTTTGAATACCTGTCACCTATTTTTCACATCTTTCTGCGCCCCCCAGTCCACCTCCTGACCAGTAACATCAATTTGTTTTCTATAGTTAAGAGTCTGTGTCTTGGATTGCACCTTTCCCCCCTTCTTTGTTCATTTTTTTCTTTCTTTCTTTCCTTTATCTTTCTTAACATTCGGGTTTTTTTTTTTTTTTTGCGGGGTGTGGGGGAACAGAGGAGCCAAAGTGGGCTCTGTGCTGACAGCAGACAGCCCTATGTGGGACTCAAACTCAAGAATCACTAGATCCTGACCTGAGCCATCCAGGCACCCCTCATTTGTTTCTTAAATTCCATGAGTGAAATCATATGGTTGTCTGTCTTTAATTTATTTTGCTTAGTATAATGCTACCTAGTTCTATCCATGCCATTGCAAATGGCAAGATTTCATTCTTTTCTATGGCTGAGTAATACAGTGTTAAAATGAATATGTCTTAATACTATGTTTTGAGTCTCTTTTGAAAAAAATTTTTTGTTGAGAGTGCTGCTATGAACATTGGGGATGTGCACTGGGTGTTATATGGAAACCAACTTGACAATAAACTATTTGTAAAAAAATAAAAAAATTTAAAAAACACAATTTTTCACAATAAAAAATTTTTTTTCAAATATTTATTTTTGAGAGTGAAACAGAGACAGAGTGTGAGCAGGGGAGAAGCATACACAAAATCTGAAATAGGCTCCAGGCTCTGAACTGTCAGCACAGAGCCTGATGCAGGGCTCGAACCCACAAACTATGAGATCATGACCTGAGCTGAAGTCGGACGCTTAACCAACTGAGCCACCCAGGTGCCCCTATTTTGAATCTCTTAATTTGCAGCAATAAGGCATGAATATGAATATATTCACTTCATGAGTTTCAGAGATGTCCTGATATTTTAAATTTTTATAATAACTTGTAAAAAATAGGAAAGTTATCTTCATGTTGTATATGGAAGAATCTTAGAGATTAGATAGTTGTGTTTGGTCGCACAAAGGTTGCCATCTATTTAGTCTACATATAGTGCTTTTTCTCTTTATCTTACATTTTTGTGATTTTCAGAGGGTAAGAACATTTTTAAAATTCTTCAGTAATAGCAATTTTTCATCCTTTGTAGGTGAATCCAAGTTTTTGGAAATAATTTAAAGCATTGTCTTTTTATCGAAAACTGTAAGTAATAGATTTACTCTCCTTGGACAAGGTCAAAGATCTTGGACTGGCAAGTTTTAAAGAATTCCAGATATGGGGTGCCTGGGTGGCTCAGTGGGTTAAGCATCCGACTTCAGCTCAGGTCATGGTCTCACAGTCAGTAGGTTCGAGCCCCACCTTGAGCTCTGTGCTGACAGCTCAGAGTCTCAAGCCTGCTTCAGATTCTGTCTCCCCCTCTCTGACCCTCTCCCACTCCCACTCTTTCTCTCAAAGATAAGCGTTAAAAAATTTAAAGAATTTCAGACATGTTTTGAACACTCATAGCATCATTAGAATAAGTAAATAGTCTCTAACATACGACTATTTTGAGAGAAAACATTACTTATTTGGAGATCTGATTTCTGTTAGTGTTAATAAACAATTTTTGTGTATTACAGGACAGTCCCTGAATGAAACATTATAATATCTAGAAAGGTATAAGAAAATGATTAATAGCTATAGTAAGGTTATTGCAAAAAACCAAAGGATTTCTTTTTTGAAGAAAACTCTTAAAAGGGGGCATGAATAGAGAGACCTTGGTGGGAGAACAGGATGGGAACAGAGGTTGATTTGACGTTGATACAGCTCTAAGACATTGTCAGATGGAAAACAAAGAGGAAAAAATGTGTTAGTTAAATTGGCAGCAGTGATAACAGAAATTAGCATAATTTTAACTAGGCAAATGGGGCAAAAATTGGTTTCTTAGTATTCACTAGCACTTGGCAGATTATTTACAGGAGACAACATCAGTAGGAATCAGGTGATACCCATATGATGTAACATGTTGGGCCTAACAGTGGGAGTTCAGTACCCAAGGGATGTAACAGTCTGGTTATGTTCTTTGCAAGTGATTGGCAACAGGGATCCAAGATGAAATGCTGTTTGAAATGCAGGCATCACGCTGCAATGAGAAATCCATTCAGGTGAATACTTGGAATCTAGGGAAATATCTGTGGAGGCCTTTTCATAGTCAGCCAAGATCCAACAATCTACAGATAAGTCAGAGAAAGCTTCCATCCTAGGATTAAACTGGTTTAGCTGGTAGATACTGGATTAAAACTTGGCACAGACACCAAAATAAAGCCTGTATCTGCAAACTGGGGACACATAAAACTTGGAACCTCAAATGTAGGAATTTTGTCATCAGAACTGTGACTGAGTTGTTGCTTGAGGCTGGCCAAAATTGCTGAAGTGCCGAATCCCAGGTCATTCTGTTTCAGAGCTAAGCTTTCCAGTCAGTAAGTCAGGGACTTAGCTGTGGGAAACTGGAAAAACAAAAGAGCGGGAAATGAGGCAGGAACTGATAGAACCCAGACTTTCACGTGGCAAAGAGACTTTCGTCTGATGAGAGAGAGGCTTATGAGAGACAGAGACAGAAGGGGACCTCCCATAGTTTTTGTGCAGAATTAAAAATTAGACTGTGAGTAAAAATGCTAAAATTTTCAGAGAAATGTCTGATGTTATGAATGGAAGAAGCTTTGAACAGTTCCAGCATCAAACAAACAAAAACGTATATGGTGATAATTTCACTTTTGTTAGTATACAAGTTGTCAGCTAAGATGCTCTTTGGCAAAAATAGAGTTTGAGGCACATTACATATGAAGTGGACCAAATATTTGTTATTGACAAGAAAATATTTCTTATTTAATGTTTTTTTTTAAATTAAACGTTACATAGCAAAAACTGTGGGTCAGGCTATGTTTGAAGTGCTTTATGATTATTGACTCAGTTATTCCTTAAATAATGACTCATTTAACCCAGTAATTCTAACTCTAAAGTCCATGTTCTTAACAACTCTGTTGTGCTACCTCCTTAGAATATTGTTCTTAATTTGGATTTCTGATTTCTGTTCTCTCTAAATGGCTAAAGCCATCTTGTAGTTACTTTGTGTGCCTCAGTAATTAAACATTCAGAGAAAAAGTTTAAGATAGATCTTTTTTTTTTTTAATATTTTTTTATTTATTTCTAGGAGAGAGAGAGAGACAGCGTGAGCAGGGTAGGGTCAGAGAGAGAGAGGGAGTCACAGACTCTGAAATAGGCTCCAGGCTCTGAGCTGGCAGTCAGCACAGAGCCCGACGCGGGGCTCGAACCCACGAACCGCGAGATCATGACCTAAGCGAAAGTCGGAAAGCCACCCAGGCGCCCCTTAAGATAGATCTTAAACTGAATTTCATATTAAAATGAAAGATGGTATGGTACATATAGGTCATTCATGTAAGTATACAGATATACATGAACCTTAGCTAGTAAACAGTCATGTAGGTACATGTGTATATAGTTCAGAGTACTTTTATTCATTTAATATTTGTACATTTTTATTTGTAATTCCAGTATAGTTAACATACAGTGTTATATTTCAGTTTCAGAGTACAATATGGTAATTTAATAGTTCTATGTATTACTCAGTGCTCATCATGATTAAGGTACTCTTTAATCCCTATCACCTATTTCACTCATCTCCCTATCCATCTCTCCTCTGGTAACCATCAGTTCTCTATAGTTGAGTCTGTTTCTTAATTTGTCTCTTTTTTCCTATGCTAGTTTGTTTTATTTTTTGAATTCTCCACATGAGTGAAATTGCATAGTACTTGTTTTTCTCTGACTTATTTTGCTTAGCATTATACTCTCTAGTTTTGTCCATATTTTTGGAAATGGCAAGATTTCATTCTTAATGGTTGAAAAATGTTCACACACATATGTATATACGTACACACCCCACATTTTCTTTATCCATTTATGTATTGGTGGACACTTGGCCTGCTTTCATAATCTGGCTATTGTAAATAATGCTGTGGTAAACATAGGAGTGCCATGTCTCCCTTTAAATTTGTGTTCTTGTATTTTTTAGGTAAATACCAGTAGCACGATTACTGAATCTTAGGATAGTTCTTTTTTTTTTTAATTCATTTTTATTTTTTATCTTTTAAATTTTTTTTGAGAGCGAGCACCCAAGCAAGGGAGAGAGGGGCACAGGGAGAGAGAGAATCCCAAGCAGGCTCCACACTCAGTGACAAGTCCAGTGCTGGGTCTGATTTCACATCCCAAGCAGAAATCTGGAGTCAGACACTCAACTGGCTGAGCCACCCACACACCTCCTGAATCTTAGGGTGCCTGAATCCTCGGGTAGTTCTATTCTTAATTTCTTGAGTGATCTCCATATTGTTTTCCATAATGGCTGCACCATTTTGCATTCTCACCAACAGTGCACAGGTTCCTTTTTCTCCGTATCCTCACCAACTCTTGTGTTTTTGTTTTTAGCTCTTCTGATA